TATTCCAGATGAAATCCTCAGGGAGCAAGTATGTCCTTGGAAAGGAATGACGACCACCAACTCAGGGCCCTCTAGCTCTTAAACTCCTAGAAGAACCACAGACGCCCCTTTCTAGAGGGAGGATACTGATGGCCCAAGGTAAACCAGTCCACAGTGACACTTAGAAATCAGGACCAGAGAGCGTTTGTGGGCGGAGGAAGGAGTTAACTGTCCTCAGTTCGGTGGAAAGGTCAGCGAGGCCCTGATCAGCGCGGAATTCATTGGGCTTGGCCGTGTGTGCACTGGAAACCTTTCTGAAGGCCATTTCAGATAATTGGTTAGAACGGAAACTGTGCTGGAGGGACTCCAGGAGGAAATGGGAGGACGCGGGGGGTGGCCTTTCTGGTGTGTTTGCCTATTACTCCCTCTCCAGAAGCATCGATCTTTTCACAGAAAGATTGTGTTTGTTGTGTTCTGAGCCCCCAACTGTGCTATGGGATTCCAGACTGAAGTTAAAGTCAGGGTAGAGTTTATCCTAACTTCCTCCCCACGCAAAGAAGTGTTAATAACACAGTGTTTTATCCTTTCTGGCTTTCTGAGGAGCCTCTGCAACCTCTCCAATTACGTAGAGAGTGCATTTGGAGAGAAATTACATTAATAGAGATTGAGAAGAGGATGAGGTATTGAAAAACTGAAGAAGCGTGGCTTTGCTGGTGGACGAGCAGAGTTTAAAGCAGCAAGGCTCTGTGAGCTGTCCCTATGCTTTTCAAGCCTTTGGAAGTAGCAACAACTATATCAAGTCCCAGATTATATTTCAAAGCTAGAGTTTAACCAGAGGTCGGTTAGGGAGCCAGCTTCCTTTTAAGCAGCTGCGGGGCAGTTAAGGAGGGTCTGGTTATCTTGAAGATAAGACTCCAAAGTAGGTTCTGAAGGCTAAATAGAGACAAGGACGAAGTTCATGATTGAGCACCCACTGTATCCTTGCTCCTGAGGATGACATAGGGTCTCCATTCCTGTAACTTACAGTCCTGTGTTTGTGGGGGGTGGGGGTGGGGGAGGGATAGGGGGCGCTCGTGGAGGCAAAATACCGCAGTGCATAGGAGAAGCTGGAGCATGCTGTGTGGAGAGGTCAACCAAAGGCTCATTGTCTTTCAAACGTTTGCTGGACCTTGAACTCACTTTTACAGGCAAACTCAATTCCTCCCTAGTCACATATCCCTGAACCACCCATATAAGGACCTTCTTTCCTTCCCCAACAAAAACCCATATTTAGTTATTGGATCCTATTTCAGCTGGAAGCAGGGGTATATGGTAACTTCTGCTTTTCAGTAATTATTCACTCTGTGTCATCTCAGAATTATAGGGTGGTGGAGTGAGGGAGGGACCATACAGAACTGTTAATTATCCAGACGCATTCTTAACAAGTCTGGCTACTTCACATCTTGTTCTTCTGGTGGAATGCTTGTGTGGATGCTGCAATGCTTTGACCAAGTATGGTAGGTCCCATGGCCCAAGGAGTGGAATGGTGGCTGGACCCTTACTGGCCCCACTCAAGCTGTGATACTGTGTAGGTTCCTGCAATGCATTAGGGGAATAGCTGTCCGGTTTTGTCACTAGTTGGCACTGGTCATCTTTTTGGCTTTTACCCCTTGGAGGGGACACATGGGAGAAATTCCAAAGAGTTGCCATCATGTTCACAACCAAATCAGCTCTCTACAGCTTAGTTTTAAAACAAATATTAAATGTCACAGGTTTTTATGTAAAATAAACTCTCACATTCTACATATAATTGTAATAGCCTGTACTATCTATAATAATAAAAGCACACTATGCTAATTAGACCAGATATCCTTCCGGATGAAGCCGGGGCTGCGAGGGCCGAGCCCCTTGCATGAATTTTGTGTATCAAGCCTCTAGTGTCTAAATAAACAGCCAGGACTGGATTATGACTTTCAAAAAGCTCTTGGCGTTCTTCTGGTCAGGCTCAGTTTGTGCAGCTTCCGGATGCATCTTCACTGACAAAACCATTTGCTGAGCCACGTGGGATTCGACTCTGGCTGGTCTTACTGCAGAGGGATGAAGGTTCTCCTCTCCCAGTGAAACCTTAGAGATGCCCTCCTCTTCCTCATCTTTCTTGGTCAGGGTTTTTGGGTTGCAAACGACCAGAAACCACCTCTGGTCAACTCCCATTGAAAAGGGATTTATTGGCAAGATCTCAGGTAGTTCTGAGTTTATGGGAGGCTGGGGAATGGCACTCAGAACAGGGCAGGAAATCAAGGAGGCTGAGTTGGCTGGAATGGGAGCCAACCTCGGGCTCTTGAATAGTCTGGATAGGGTGTCACTGCTGTTGCCACCCCTGGCGAGGACTGGACCCTGGGCGCCATCCTTGGCACAGCTGCCACTGCCATTCTTGCTACAGTTTTTATTTTAAACGGCCCACTGCATCTTTTGTGTCACCTGCTGCAGATTCAATCAATCACCAAGTGACAACAGCAGAACCTACTCCCCCAAAAGTCTTTGTGTGCAGAGCTGGTACTCACCTATGCATCGTCATTGACACCTACTGTCATACTAGTTCTTAAAATATCAAAATAGTGTCTTACCTACCAGCCTGGGCCCATTCTCTTCCAGCTTCTTACAATCCAGCCATTGCATGGTTAGCTCCTGGCACAGGGAGGGGCGTCCCAGAACCTGCCTTAGCTGATGTCTGCTGTGGTGGTGGATGTTGTGGCAAAGTGATGGATAGTATTTTGGATATTAGCCCGACCGCGTGTACTTAAGATTAGTCTGTAAGTAAGAGGGGCTGACACTCAGAAATCACCAGAATCTATATTAAATATAAAATGTGCAAAGGGCTACCCACATATGACAGTGATCACTCATTGTGTGTGAGATGAGGCATCCTTTGTGTTTGGTTCATAGAATGTTTCCATTCATCTCCTCCCTTGCCTAAGAATGCTGTTGTGCTATGTACTTATTTATAAAATTAAGATGAATTAAACTAAATAATATGGAGGGAATTGATAAATGAATTATGGCATGTTAATACTATGAAATATTATATAGCCACTAAAATGATGGGCTTAATGACTGTAGAAGTTCAGGAAATGTTCATGAAATATTTAATTTAAAAGTTAGAACACAAAACTGCCCAGACATATGGTTACAACTATGTAAATGCTATTTATACAAATAAATGAAGGTAGGAAGGACTATAAAGGAATAAAAGTTCTTTTCTGTTAAGATAGCTCTGTGGTTGAATAATACCATTTCTTAACTAATGCTTTAAAAACTAAATAAATAAAACCTTAACATAAAAAGTTGATTACCAAAATAAAGTTTTACATGAAAATGTTTGGATGCTATCACCACAGCCCTTTTGGTCCTGGGAAGCAAATTGATGTATTATCAACCAGGGTTGGAAACCACTGGGGCGTTCAGAACACAGGTTATGCTCCTTGACTGAGAGAACAGATGTTTCCACCGCTTAGAGAATGATCTAAGGGGGCTGTTGAAGGTCATGGGTCGTCTCAGGTGTATTGACAGTGACGGAGGCAAAGTTCGTGTTGATTTGGGCTGCACAGGACTTGGAGTGATTTGCTTGTTGCCTTGAGCATTCTACTCGGTCAATTCCAAGGACAGCAAGGCAGCCACCTAGAAAGGAAACAGGTGCCCATGTTAGAAAGGAAACGAAAGCTTGTCTCCTTGTGCAGAGCCTCAGACCATATCTTGACCTTCTTACTAAAGAATGATCACAATAAAAATTCCAGCAGGTTTTTGTTCTTGTTTTTGGTAAAAGTTGAAAGATGATTCTACACTTTATATGAGAATGCAAAGGACCTAGAAAAGCCAAAACGATTTTGAAAAAGAACGAAGTTAGAAGACTCATGCTACCTGATTTCAACACTTACTATAAAGCTATAATAAACAAGGCAGTGAGTTATTGCATAAAGACAGATCAGTGGGACAGAATGAAGTCCAGAAATAGGCCCACATATATGTGGCTAAATGCTAAATTGTGTTATGCAGAGCAAGAAAAGCTATATAGAAGATTACATGCACTATGATACCATTTACATGAAGTTCTAGGAAAGAAGAAACTAGTGACATTACTGGTGATGAGACCATACTGAGAGGGTTATTCATTTGAGTGTCAGTGGTGAGTGCAGTGCCTAAGAGCCTGGGCTTTCAATTCAGCCTGTCTGGGTTCCAGTAGCAACTCTTTGTTCACCTCTCTGCGCCTCGGTTTCCTCATTTGTATGAACCAACACAGTGTTAGTGCTTGCCTTGTAGGGTCATTGTGAGGATCAAGTGAATTAACATAATTAAAGCATCTTGAACATTTCCCTGTGCCTTATAAGCCATATTTATTGCTGCTGCTCTTGTTGTTATTATTAACCTCCAATAATATTGTGATTTCACCTTTCTCCTAAAACTTGGTTCTTTCCGAACTTCACCCTCTCCATGACCCATATGCACTCATGTAACTCTAGGGTTTTATTCTAATACTAGAGGCCCGGTGCATGGCCCAAAGGTTGCTGTGAGCCTGGCTTCTGGCTGAGTGGCCCTCTTCCTGTGCGAGTGCCCTCACCACCAGGGGGCAGCTCCTGCTTTGAGCATCTGCCCCCTAGTGATCAATGCGCATCATAGTGACCCATCGATCCACTGTTTGGTCAATTTGCATATCAGGGTTTTATCAATGCGCATCATAGTGACCCATGGATCCACCATTTGGTCAATTTGCATATCAGGGTTTTATTATATAGGATTAGAGCTGGAAGAGACCTTGCATAGTATTGAAATCAAGTACGGACAACAAAACTGTGGCCAAGGTGGTTGAGTGGTGTGCTTGTGGTCATGTTAGTACGTAGCAGACCAGAAGCTTGGCCACGTTGACTCCTGGTTCAGCTCTGTTTTATCAAGGATGTACGTGTTGTTTTTTCCTTTTCAATGTGAGCCACAGGGACTTATCTTGAACCTGCCATTCATCGGTTTCATTGTGTGGTTTTGTTTTTCTGCAGAGCAGTGCCGAGCCCCAGTTGCAAAAGACTTGTCCTGTCACCACCATGAGCTCTGGTAAGTCATTTAAAACCCTTTTCTTCTCGACAAATCTACAAAACTGGGCAGTTTACCCAGATTTCTTACTTACTCTGAAGGTTCCAACTACATTTTTTATTTTTGAGACCTGGGTAAGTGCCAGAGCTTTGTCATAAATCGTCATCATCACTATCATCACATGCATTGTTGAGGATTTATTCTCTACCACGTGACAGGAACTGTGCTATACACTTTACATGCATGTGTCCTCATCTTTGTAATAGCTTCCTTTGTCTCTATTTTTAACAACTTTATGGAGGTATAATTGGCATACAGTAAACTGTGGATCTATTAAGTATACAATTTGATAAATTTTGACATATATACACCTCGGTGGCATTTCTTAATCCCAGTGAATACAGCAAAAAGAAACCAATGGACTATAATTGCCCCTGGGTGCAAGCTAATCTAACACTTACTTCATCCAGGCTGACGGAGCAGTGTGCTCCCCCTTTGCTGTGCATGTGGTAGTAAAAATCAAGACCTACACAAATGACCAGTTTTGAGTATATTGCATTTAGATATGGTGTGGAAAGCATAGGCTAGGGAAGACGGGGAATGGAACAAGCCCCTGCTTATTGTGCAGCCAAGAGTTTGAGGCAGAGAAGTTTCCATCTGGAGATTAAGACCTATCTGCCTCAGCCACTGGGCCCGCCTCGGCCCCTGGGCCCGCCTCGGCTACTGGGCCCGCCTGGGCCACTGGGCCCGCCTCGGCTCCTGGGCCCGCCTCGGCCACTGAGCCTGCCTCGGCCACCGGCCTGCCTGGAGCCTCCCATGACCTGTAGGCTGTGAGGGTGAGGGGGATGACCAAAGGGCTAGCTTATTCAAGGGTGTCCCAATCCTGAGTTATTTCTAGCATGTTCCAGAAATCTCAGAGGATGAGAAACAAGTCTTTCCACGTATTTACATACAGTGCCTTTTTAGCCAGGTCCTAACTGGACGAACAGTGTGTGCTTAGGACTGAGGAGGGCTCTGGGTGGGATAGCTCAGGGCCACAACTTGGCTTCCTCAGGTACCACGGTGTGACCTTGGGCCTGTGGTGGACCCTTCTCTGCATTCTCCGTAAAACAGACATCCTAGAAGCACCAACCCATTAGGATTGTATGAAGATTAAGTGAGGCCTTGCTCCCTAAGTACTGAGTACCTGGCGCCAGGCTCGACTGGTCTTCCGTCCATGGGTTCCCAGCTCCGATGTCCTCCTTGGGAGGGGAGGGACTGGCCCCTGATGCCTTCGGTGCTCTTGTTATACATGACTCTGCACACCTTTTCCCTCCAAGGGGCTCAGGTACTGCCAGCAGCTCCTGCTTTGTAATGCTTTTTTGTTTTTGTTATCATTTTTTCAGACTTTGGCTCTGCAGTCTAAAGAGTTTTTGTTCTTCTAATATCAAAATTAGCCCAAACTGGCATTGCTACCTATTCCTGGCAAAATAAGGGCAGAGGAAGTAGGAAGGGAGGACCGGGCCGGAGGGCGAGGGTGTGGAAGTGCCTGTGGGAGGTCTCCCTACTTCTCCCTCTCAGGTGGTGCTAGAAGGAGGCTTTCACAGCCAGAGTCCAAAAAGTCTGGACCCTCTGACCTGACAACTCCACTCTTGGGAATTTCTGTCTTAATTCCAAGAAAACAAAAACACCACCCACATAAAGGTGGGGTCTCTCTAGGTTCATGCTGTGTATTTACATGGGGAATAATAGGCCGCTATTAAAAATGATCATTAGGAAGAAAGCAGTTCTGTGGGAAACACTTGTTTTAACCTCTGGTGGACAGAGCAGCATGAAAGCAGCTTTTGCCTCCTTTCCTGGTCCAGACAACACACAGTTCTCCGAATTCTCCCATGACACCCAAGGGGGCCCATCTCCAGGCCTGAGCAGCCCCCACGTCCCCAGCTCCTCCCACCGGGTGGGACTCAACAAATGTTGGGGAGACCTCATCCCTAGCCTCATGCTTCTTTCTTTCTCCAGAATGTGACGTTGGCGCTTCTAAAGCCGTGGTGAACGGGTTGGCACCAGGCAGCAATGGGCAGGACAAAGGTAAGGCTTTTAAAGGGAAGCCCGGCTTGGTACTGGGAAGAGTTTCTAGAAGGAGCAGGGTGTCAGGGCGGGACCACCTGCCCAGTGGGAATAGTCATGGTCCAATCAGGCCCTTTACTGGAGCCCTGTTTTCCACACTGAGTTTCTGAAACCGTGAGCATGATCTTGTATCTCAGGAGTCTGAGGCTGCTGCTTCCCACTGTGAGGTGACTTATTAAAAACTGCCTCCTGCTCACAGGGTGTTTCAAATAACAGATCAAATATACAGACCGAGGTGTACCTCCTGCCTCTGCATATGGCATTTATCAGCCTGAAGTTTTCCTCACTGGCATTTCACCTTCATAGCCCTGACCCTGCGGCAGGAGCCTTTGTTGCTGAAATAAATGATTTCAGTGGCATTCATTTCATGCACATCCTCTCATATTTTCAGTTTTTAAAAATTCTAGGATGAAAGATTTAAGTGCGAAATGAGTGATGGATAAGATGACCTTTGAGGTCCCATTTGCCCTGTCATCTCTCATCCCGAATGTCTCGATGTGGCTGCCCAGGTAGCAGGCAGTGGGGCTTCCCGTGGCTCTTCTGCAGCGAGGGGTGGGTTGGAGTGATAAGGTTCAGACATCTCAGGAGGTCCTTTGTCCTCATGGGTGTGACTAGAAAACACAGGCATTGCATGATCTGCAGTATTTATTCCTGCTTCAGAGTCTGGGTGCCAGTGGTTCTCTCCATGCTCACCCCACTAAATTTTACGGTATCAGAGAGGGAGGGCGGAAGTCCTATCATTGGGCATTTAAGTAACTTCAGAGTTTGATGTGTTTGGCTTTTGTAATTTTAGGCTGGTTTAGCCAAGTATTCCTTTTTCAACAAGGCCAAATGCAAAGTCAGAAGGAAGAGCCGGAGAGGGAAGGCATAGAGAGTAGAGGGGTGGGGAGTGGGGTGGTGGTTTGGGGCGCTTTCTCTGGCAAGAGGTGTCCTGCTGCCAGCTTGTTCTTGCCTCCCTGCTGGCTGCCCTCCTGTACTCAGGGTGTGGGGCCGTGTTCTCGGGGTCCTGGACAATCAGGCGGAGTTGCATCAGGGGATGTTGAAGGGCGGTGCCTGTGGAGTGGCTCCAGGGGAAGGTTCAGTCCTCCAGTGAGGAGCATGGAGAGGATGGGCTCTGATGCTTAAAAAGCCTGTGGTGCCAGCAACACGGTCCCTGTGAATTCGCTTAAGGAAGAGGCTCCAGGGGAGCGGGGGGAGGGCGGCAGATGGAGGTGGTTTCTGCTCCCTCTTCAGTAAAAATCACCTTTGGTTGGGAAGAGGAGGCAGATGCAACCATAGGTCATCCTGGTGGCCCGAGGAGGTCCCTGAACCCAGTGCCGGGACAGTGAACGCTAGCCTCAGCCTCTGTCCTTGAGTGAAGCTGGGTGACTCTGAGCGGCTCTCTGAGCCTCTGGCTTCTTCCTCTGGAAATGGTAACATAACAGAAGTCTCCCACCAGCCAGTCTCCCAGCTGGTCTTAGAGAGCAGTGAATAAATAGGATTGCTGCGAAAGCATGTTTGCACCTTCACACGTGCAGCCCTGGCCGCGCCCCACGAGTATCCCGGTCTAAAAGCTCAGCCGGGTGTCAGATCCCGGGCTGCGCGCTTCGGTGCTGCCCTGAGTCTTGAATATGCACTTGGCCACTTGGCCACCTCTTGCCCGAGAAAGGGTGGGCTGCAGCAAGACCATCTGCTGCCTGACAGATGGGGGTTCCGGTCTGCTTGGGGACAGAGGGCTGTACTTGTCAGAGGAGGCACAGGACCCCAGAAGGTACGATTCTGTGGAAGCAGTTGTGATGGCTGAAGGAACCCGGCAACTCACAGACGGGTCCCTTTCCTTCCTCCACTCACCTGGGGCCGGAGCCATAGCTCTCCTTCTCGGAGCGCACCCACCCCCAACCCAGCACAGACACCCCAGCATTCTTTCAGGGGCCCCTTGGACCCTGATTCTCTCCCCTTCCTCTATTTGCCAGGCCATCTGCATCTCTAACTCTTGGCAAGTTCCTGGTGTGGCAGGAGGTACAGAGACACTGACCAACTGCACGCGGGCACCGGTAGGAGGGAGGGTTCTGCCGTCTTGGCACAGAACTCTAAAGAGAGAAAGCAGGTTATTTCAAATCACTGCATCTACTGCTCTTTCTAGTGTTCTTTTCATGTGGGCGACTTCCTCCTATTGTCCCTGCCGAGTCCCTCAACTGCCTGAGCGTTTCCCAGTGTCCTTCCTGTAGGCACCATTTACCCTTTTGTGTTTGCAGCAACCACCGACCCCTCACGCGCACGCTCTATTTCTGCTGTTAAAATAATTCCTGTGAAGACAGTGAAAAGCTCTCCAGGCCTAGTACTCCCTCCAGGTACCTTCCTTGGGTTGGTTTCTTCTTTTAATTGTTAGCAGATCATGCATGGTGTTTCTTCTTTCCTTCTAACAAAGACTGGAGGCTTAATCCTTGCATGCTTAGGAGCCATTTCCTCTCACTGCCTCGGTTGGTTTCCTTTCTTCATTCGTGTGTGTGTGTGTGTGTGTGTGTGTGTGTGTGTGTGTTTCCGTGAGCCAGCCAGTCCAGAGACAAACTGACAGCTACCTTGTGCCCCTTCCCCTCTTTAGGAGAAGGGTCACCCAGAGGCTAAGCATCTACTCTGTGCAGGTCTGAGGTACATGGACTTCTTAGCCTCTCCCTAGGGGTTTCCAGCTCCCGGTACTTTATTTAGAACTCCAGTCTCCCGGAGAATTCATGTGGCCGCACAGGGACCCTCTGAATTGGGCTGAACTTGGAAAAGAGGCTTTGCTTCTCTCCGCCTGGCACAGGCCTGGGAATGAGGTGGATGTCTGAGCCCCCATCCTGTCCACTGCCCACCTTAAACTTGACCTCATAATCCCAGGCTTGACGATTTTAGGTCAGCGATCCCAGCTGTGCTGTGGAATTCAGTTCAGCTCGGCCACACAGAAAGAAGCGTGAGCACGTGCGCCTGCTAGGGCTGTGCTCTGCGTTGGCGGCGCCTCCCGGGCCGACTCTCGGAGGGTGAGCAGCCAGCTCTTTTGAAGCCTGTTTTGAAACCCTTCTCAGTGCGATTCTGAAAGATGACCCGGGCCTGTTATTAGGCCATTGTCACCTGCGGAGAGGTCGGGACCCAGTGACGGCGCGGCTGGGTGCCGCGCACACTGTTCAGGGAAGGCTTTGGCATTCCTTGTCCTTCCTTTGGTGTGAATTTTCTTCATTAAGTTGGAATGCGAGGCCCTCTCACCCCTGGTCTTTCTGCCCAGGCAGCAGATCCCGTCTCATCTTTTCAGGGTCCTGACTTGTTCGTGCAGGTTTTCTTTTCCTTTTCCCACCAGAGAAGTGATTCTCTGCAGAAAACCACTGCATTCCTGATGTGCCTAGAGCTTTTCTAAGACGGATGGTCTGGAAACGAGAAATCTTTCATAAACTCTGAGCCTTACTAATTGGTCAGACATCTGCTCACCAACCTACACTTCATTTAATAAAAGAAATAAACCCGCTTTCATTTTGAAAAGTCTTCAGCTGATAATTGTAACATACATATACTCCATTTCCCCCTAACCTCATGATGGGTGGTAAACCTCTGAAAATGGGGTTCATTCCTCTCCACTACCCACAAATTAATTTTCATTGACCATAAGATTGTGCGGCTGTGCCCAGGTTCATCTCATCCCCCAGCTGTAACAAGTTGCTTGCTGACTGTTGCTTAATCCTCTAGGAGCTTTGCATTCAGTCCTCCCTTTTGGATCTTTCCTTTTCAGACATGGATCCTACAAAAGTTTGCACTGGGAAGGGAGCCGTGACTCTCCGGGCCTCATCCTCCTACAGGGACACCCCAAGCAGTAGCCCTGTGAGCCCTCAGGAAAGCCCACAATACGAAAGCAAACCAGGTGAGCCACCTCTGCGACTGGGGGCAGGTATTCAAGTCACATGGGAAGGGCACAGATTCATCAGCTGCTTCCTGATTCTCCCAGGGGCCCCTGGGTCACTCAGCTTTTTGTCCCATCTGCGATACATGGTGATCAATGCCCTGAACTGACAGGGCCCTCTTGCTTCTGGCAGAGGCACAGCAGCAACCACCACTTTATTTTAGCTTTTGACTGGACAGGTGGGCAGACACCCTATCTCAGAGCTGGGGTCTCTGCTGACTGCACTGGTGAGGACGGAGAGGCTTGGAGGCCTTGGGGAGCAGAGGAGAGATGGGCTAGTGGTTAGGTGTCTCTGAGGGCTTGGCTGTGCCTGGCCAGGCAGGGCTGGGGCTGAGAGGAAGCCAGAGGGCACTGAGAAGTGCAGACGGCTGACCGACCTGGCTCCCAGGAGAGCAGAGGTGGGGCAGGGGGCAGGCGTGGCGGGGGGTGACCTGGCAGCTCAGGGAGCAGGGCCAAAAGAGCAGGTCTCAGACCAGTGCAGACTAGGAGCTACGGAGACGAAGAAGCCGTCTGAAACCCAGCTCCCCACACGACCCGCCACTCGGGAAGCCTGTGTGTCTAGGTTTAGACCTGGGACTTCTGGAGCTGGTAGATTGGTGTTCAGGCCCTTCACCACCTGTTGGCTGTGTGAGCCCGAGGGATATAGTTAGTCTCTCACGGCTGGTAATCTCATCTGCACTGCCTCCCGCATCCTTGTGAGGATGCAAGTGCAGGAGGTGTTACCTGGTGGCATGGAATGGGCTGCATTTGTTGCAGCAGGAGAGTCAGACATGGGCCCCTCATCCACTACCTTGATAGTGCTTTCATGCCTTGGATAAGTCACACCTTTGAACACATGTGAAACCTGAGGGACTTGGGCAAGATGGCTTACAAGCCATTCTCGTTCTAAATGCTCAGTAACCTTGGGAAGACGTGATTATTTTGGCCGCTTTGGGGAGAGCTCTCCACACCCAAGGGTCCTGGGAGTTGGGAAACGCTGATGTTGAGGTCCCACAGGCACTGTCAGGATCGGGGGGATGGCCCTCTCCACTCTGTGGACAGTGCGCGGTCCTCACACTTGCGTTGCATCAGAATCACCTGGATAAAAACACAGGTTCCTGGGCCTGCGTCAGAGCTTTAGAATTCCTGATTCCCCCCTGAGGGGCTGGGGTGCTGACCCAGATTCTGCCTTTCTGACGTTCCCAGGTCATGCTGATGTCCGAGGACCCCATTTGAGAGCTACTATAGGGGATGGGAGTTTCTTAAAGGAAGGAAATGAAGGGAGAAAAGGAATTGGGGTGATGACGACCCCCTTGGGACCGGAGAGGAAAGGAAGGGGGCCATGAAAACTCTTTGGCACAGTGGGGAGCAGTGTGTGGTGATAGAAGGGAATTAGACAGGATGGGGGTGGTCAGCGCCCAGACCTGGGAACTGGCTTTCTTCCTGTCCCAGCCACCGGGAGCAGGTGCCAAGGCAGCTGTCCGAGGCGAGGCCAGGCTGGAGTGTGAGCTTCTCCCTTGACTAAGGGAAAGCGTGAGTGGCCTCCAGCACTGAAACTCAAAAGTAGCTTCTTGGCCCTCGATTCCTGAATTTACACCTGACTCTTGCCCCACTGCTATTTGCCGTTCTCATCTCCAGGAAAGGTGGGGCCAGGAAGTGAAGGCAAAATAATTTCTTCCTAAAACAAGTCTAATCCAGCCTCTTCAGGCCTAATTGGGAAAATCCAGCTCCCAAGCTGGAGGACGTTAGGGGAAGAGTGAATCCCAAGTGATGGTTAAAGAGAAAAACCCTCCTCCCGCCCAGTGGCCCAATAAAGCACCGGTCACCCCCTGGCCCTTTCTCTGGTGGTGAGAGGTGAAAGGAAGGAGGAGCCTTGAGCTCCCCCTGGTGGTTATAGTGTGGCACTATCAGAATGCAAATGCTACTTTTTTTTAAATTGATTAATTTTAGAGAAAGAGGGGCAGGGGAATGGGGAGAGAGAGAGAGATCGATGTTCCGCTTATTTATACATTCATTAGTTGATTCTTATATGTACCTTGGCAGGGAATCAAACCCTCAACCTTGGCATATCAGGATGACACTTGAGCCAACTGAGCCACCCACCCAGGGCCACACTGTCAGTAGGCTTTCACTACAGGACTGTGCAGTTATTTGAGTCACTTTAGGAAACTCTCTCTAGTTCCCAAATAATTCTATGTCTTACAAATTTATAACAGCTAATTTGGGTGATAAAAGATCATGTTTTAAAATGCAGAAACTCTGAAGAATTAGGGGATAGCTATCAGTCATTCACACTTCACAGTAAATTAATCTTAGTAGATTATTTTCATCCTCATAAATTGAGATCACTGGATCCAAATTATTCATTCAACCATTCACTTATCATCTCTGTGTCAGACACTAAGCGAGTCGCTGGGAATTGTGATGAGAAGGGGGAGGAAGGGAGGAAAAGGGAGAATAATTCTGGGTGCATTAGGTGAGGACAGAAGGCAGTTTGTTGTAATAGGAGAGCCACGTGTGGGCCCCTAATCCACTACCTGCATTCTGACCGTGGTTAAGTCACACATTTTAAGCACATCTGAAGTATGAGGGCCTGGGTGACATGGTTTCCAAGCCATTCTAGTCCCAAAATGCTCTGTGGCCTGACAAGTTTGGAAACTGACCTGACACAAACTGATTTCCATTCACTGGACAAATTCAAGATTGTGTACTAGAGCAGTTTGAGTGGGAAGGAATAAGTTTGCTTTAAGTAGGGGTGGCGGGGAGCCCCGTACTGATTAAGAGCTGGAACAAGTTAATACTGGGGGTGAGGTTAAAAGGATGTGACTCTAGAGATAGGACCTTCAGGAGTGGGGATCTTGTCGCTGTACTCTGCTGCTCATTGACCAGCATCCTGGCTCCCTCGTCCTCCTCTCATCCCTGCCTACTCCCTCCCTCTGGGCCTCTGGATGACAACTTGTTGGCCCACACCAGTCTGAAGTCTTGTCCTGGGCCTGGGGGGCACTGGGCCGGGACCTGCCTCATGAAAACAGTCTTTAACAATATTTGCAGGAAGCCATGCCCAGCCTGGACTGGAAGCCCCACCAAGTGTGCGGTAATGAGTGGCTCTTGCCAAGGATTGGGCATGCTTTCTACTCCCAATGTCTTCACAGAGAACTAAAGTCAGATAGTGTCCAGCTCCCTCCCTGATCACTAGGCCAGTAGATGTCCCCCAGCTGCTTTGTCTACCCCTCCCCCCACCTTGCTACCTGCCTTTGCCACCTTCTTCCATTCCTACAGGTCTCCAAGTTGCTGATCATTGGCCTAGACTGGAAGCTCCAGTCCCCCACACTGCCCAGCACCTGCATCTGATTTCTCTCCCTACATGGGCCTTTGACACCCACATTTCAGAGATACCCCCTATTTCCAGTCCTTGCTCCAACTCTCTCATGCTGGGCTTGTCCTTGAATCATAGAGCTCTCCGAGGCTCAGCTCTGCCTCTTACCGTCTTTGTGATGTGGGCAAATCACGCAGCCTTAGAGAGCTTCAGTTTCTCATTTACAAAATAGGAGTGATCATAATAGAGTTGTTGGGATTCAATGAGCTCTTTCATATCAACACTTAACACAGTGCCAGGCATGTAACCATTCTAATTACTGCAGACAGGAGGCCCTTCAAAGGGGCTCAGTAATTTCAGTTAGAGGCCATGGGGGCCTGGGCCTGGCGTGGTGGCAGCAGGCATGAAGAGCAGGGGCCAAGGGTGAGTGGATTCGGAAGAGTGGAAGGGCAGGGCTCAGTGCAGTGTGTGTAAGGAGCACGGAGGGGTAAGGCTCAGTGCAGACAGGAGAATAACCGGCACTCATGCAGATGGTGGATTTATGCAGGAAGGTGAAGGGCTGTTGAATTCCTTTGTTAGACATCTTGAATTTTTTTGGCAAGGAAAGAACTTCTAGGAGGAAATTTGGGGTCGAAGTATGGATTTGGGAGCCACCTGATCACATGAACATGGGGAGGTGGAGATGCTGGGGGTCAGGGACAGATGGAGCCTTTGGGGTTCCCCAGTTCAAACCCACAGTCCAGACTCCTGCTCTCAAGTGGAAGCTGGACTCTGGGTCCCTGACCCTGGCTTCCCAACCAACCTCCTAATCTCAGAACGTGGGCCTTGGTTTTTGAATCAGAACCACTGAGGTTACTGGGTGAGGCAGTACCTTATCCCTGCTCCCTGGTGCCATTGCCTGGCAGTCTCAGTGTCGGCCCTGTGGTTCAGAGTCACCCACCACGTCCCAGGTCAGGGCGTGTTCACTCAAGAGGAGACAGAAAACCTGAACTGGTGATGGGTGTGATACGCTTCCTATCTGGTAGCCTGAAGACCATCAATCCCTGCATTTTGACTCACAAGCCAAAAGCCAGGTCAGATCTTACATGTTGCTCATTCTGTGCCGGTTGGCTCCACTCCTGCCCGGTTCTTGAGAAACAAGTCAGCTTTGGACATGAAATGAGCAATCAGCTCATTTCCTCTAGTTTGAGCCTCGCATTTGCTCTCCAGAAATGGCAGGCGCAGAAAGGTGTCATGAGAAAATTAACATTGAAGCAGTTAAAGGCACTTCCTGCCCTTGTTACTGCAGAGTCCTTTTTATGAGCACATGTGTGAGAATCAGGGCCGAGAGATGGCGGGAAATTCCCCCAAAGAAAACACCCTCACTCTGATACCAACTCCAAGTTCAGGGGATTCCCAAAACCATCCTCAGAGTTGATCATTTGCTAGAAGGACTCAAAGAGCTCATTGAAAGCTGTTGTGCTCATGGTTATGGTTTCTTTCAGATTAAATCAGCCAGGAGAAGCACAGAGTTTCCAACGCCCTCTCCCGTGGAGTCAGGACGTGCAGTTCCTGGCCGTGAGGTGTACACTATGCTCAGATATTCCAACCAGGAAGTGCACCTGAGCCGCGTGTCCACAGAGTTATTGGTTTTTTAGAAAGATATTTTTATTAATTTCAGAGAGGGAGAGAGAGAAAGAAACATCAATGATCATTGAGAATCATTAAACGACTGCCTCCTGCATCCCCCCCACTGAGGATCAAGCCTGTAACCCAGGCAAGTGCCCTGACCCAGCATGGAACCATGACCTCCTGGTTCATAGGCTGACGCTCAGCCACAGAGCCACACTGACTGGGCATGTCCAGAGTTTTTGTTGAGACTTCCTTACATAGGCTTTCCCACTGCCCATGTGCTGATACCCTCAATCACATTACTGGTGTGGCACACAGACACTCCTATCAGGATGACCTTCCAGGGGTTTAGAGAGTAACTCCCAGAGGGCAGAGCCAGATGTCTTTTTGAGTATGGTTAAGTTCTTTACCACATAACATGAGTAAAAAATAAACATAAAGAGCTTAAAACACTCTTAGAGCCACTTTAACACATCTCATCTGTTAGACACTACAGCTGTCAATTCTCTCAGAGGAAGTTATCCTAAGATTCCAAGAAGAACTGATCAGTAAAACAATGTAGAACAGATCAAAATGAAATGAGCACAGAAAGAGATACAAAAACATGTCAGGGGGCTGTGGTCTCAGGCCAGAAAAGATTGTCTGTGAAAGACAGATGGAGGAAGAGATGAGGCAAAATAAATATTACTTCCTTCTTGTGGGAAGGCTCGGGTCTCTTCCGAGCTGTAGAGCCTACCTAGGACCCAGCTTTCCAACATTTATTGAAGGAAGCATTCTGATAGTCTCCTCACATCAAAGTTAATAGCTGATGGTTATGTGTATAAGATTTCACATGCTATACTGGGGCACATAATGGTCATACTGCCACCAGCCTTCAAGGTTCAGAAGAAGACTGGGTAACGGATGAAGGGTGACGAAACTGCAGAAACACAGCTGTCCTGTAAAGGATGAAAGGGGAGGACTGCTCAGAGAGGTCCTGGGACCCACAGGGAAAGGGGAACCATTTAGTGACTTGGAATTAGAAGAAAAAGCGGGTTGAGCCCCAAGAATATTATGTTCTTGACACTATTTATCAAATGGCAGATGTTAGCAACTCTAATTTACCTCTATGTCTGGGCAGATTTTTTCCCCTTATGTTTTGGATTCTAGTTTACTGATCTCATACTTATGCCAGACATTTCCCTTTGATCCTCATGACTCAAAAGAGGTAGATAATGTCTCTTGCACAAATGAGGCTAAGTCATTTGCTGCGGGATGTGCAGTTAGCGAGATAGTCAGGACTCAAACCTGGCAGTCTGGTGCCGACACGGGAGTCCCTTTATGATGCCCAACCTGTGGCAGCACAGACTCTTCTCCGTTTTCCACGACATAATGTTTGCCAATGTCACCTGAGTAGAACCAACCCGACCGAGAACCAAAGAAGGTGCAAAATAAGGTGCCCTAAATCCATGCAGAAAGCTCACATCCTTTAAGGAAAAGCCCCTCACTCAGAGCCTATTGATATTTTCGTGTATTTGTAATTCTAATAAACTTGATAGAATGATTGACAAAGGTAGACTAGCAATAATGTAGAAAGGAGGGTGGGACAGTAAAAGTGACAGGTGGCAGGGAGTAGGGAGAGTCACTGTCACAGTGTGTCACCTGGTGTTTCAGGATCTGTCTGATGTGAGGGCCAGGGTTCTGGATGGAGGCAACAGAGGGGGTTGAAAATGATCACCCTGAGGCTACTTCACATACCTGACCTCTGGACCTCCAGCAACCCTGCGAGTAAGGATAATGGTTTATAGATGACGAGAGTGAAGTTTCCAGTGATTGTCAGCTTGCTCTTGGTCACACAAGCTCATACATTGCAATAATGTAAATAAAATTCAAGTCCTGTAAATTTCCCAATTTCTGTGGTTGGGAAGAGAAGACAAATACCTGTGATTTGTCCATAAAGGGAGGGGCAGAAATGCAACAGACAACTTACTAAAGGAATATACAACTGAAATCTGTAAAAACTCTGACCAGATTGGGGGTGGGGACAGGGGGGAATAAACAAACAAAAATAGATATAGTTTTCCAGAACAAGGATGTTTTTAAGTATTCCTTATATCAGTGGTTCTCAGAGTGTAGGTTATGGACCATCAGCCTTGCCTCCCTTGGGAACATGTTAAAAATGCAGATTTTTGGACTGACCTCCCATCATGAGTCAGAGGCTCTGGGGGGCAGAGCACAGCAGTCTGTCCTCTGTGATTCTGATGCAGCTCTGACACCTTGTGGCTCCCCCACCTCCCTGAAATGTAGGCTGTTTTGTGGCCCATGTGGGGTTGCTGACGATCCTACAGATGGTGGGCGGAGCGCCGTACTTCATTCTGGAGACCTGGGCTGACTGCTTGGTCGTCGCCTGGCTGTGTGACTTTGGGCAAGTCAGTTGGCCTTTCTATTTCCTCGTCCATGAAGTAAAGACTCGTGTGCACTAAAATACTTAATAGGAGCAAAAGTGACTAACAGTGTCTGGCAGAAAAATGTTCAATAAATGTGTGTAAATCTCAACTTGACATCTGGAAAGCCCATCTCTAGTCCTTGAGGGACACACTGAAATGGAGCCTCGGGCTGGAAGAACTGCTGTGTTGTTCCCTCTTATCTCTGTACAGAGTCAGACAAGAGCAGGCACCCAGGGAGAAGGAAGCTGAGGGATTGGCTAGATCAGGGGTTGGCAAATATACCCATGGGCCAGATGTGGCCATGCTTATTTTTGTTCAGCCTGTGAACTACGAATGATTTTTCTATTTTTAAATGGTTGAAAGAAGATCAAAACAGTATTATATGCCGCTTGGAAATTACATGAAATTCAAATTTGTATCCGTAAATAAAGGTATATTAGAATGTGGCCACACTGGCTCATATGCATATCATCCATGTCTGCTCTTGTTTTGCAACAGAAGAGTTGAGTAGTCGTCACTGAGACCATATGGCCCACCGAGCCTAAAACATTTCCTGTGTGGCCTGTTACAGAAAAAGGTTGCCGACCACTGGACTAGATGGAGGATAGAGAAGAGAGGCGAGAGATGATGCAGAAGATGATTAGAGTAGACATTTACTGAGCTCTGCCAGGTGTGGACTAAGCATTTCTCATGCATTGTATCATTTAATTCTTAAAACAACACTTACGAAGCAGGCATATCATTATCCCTATTCTTCAGATGGAGAAACTGAGGCTTATCACTTGCCCAGGGACACAGAGCCCACAGGTGATAGAGTCAAAATTGAATTGAGGTCCAGCTGCCTTTCCAGCCGAGCTCATGACCATTGTGCCCTGTTGCCCCATGGCGTTAAGTGGGTCAATTTAGGAGAGGTTTAGGGTCTCAGATGTGCTGGGCAATGACTGAGAGGGCAGGATAGTAGCCGGCTGGAGGGAGACAAGGGTGCCTTGTAGTGCAGTGAAAACTCAGAAAGGGTGATTAGATTTTAAATGTTTATGTGGCTCGTTTAACAGAAGGAAAAAAAGCAGTGGGGAGAAAAGAAGCCCTTACCACAGCAGATACCTCTGGGCTGAAATCATGTTGTCCCCAAGCCCAGCAGCAGCAGCCACGGGAAAAGTGCTCATCTACTCTCCCTCTCTGGGGTCTGCTCGTCAGTCCCCTGCCAACGAGGAGGGGGCACTCTGTGCCCACATCAGGCGTGAAGGAGGGGATGAGATTTAGTGAGGAGGAACTGGACAGTGGAGTTCTGTTGCCTTTCAGTCTGTAAAATAAGAATGTCAAGGAACAATTGTTTCTTCATTGCTGTGAATGTGAGCCTTGTGTTTGCAAAGGTCAGCGCCTGTGAGCACATCGTGGCTTAGAGTGGGTTCCTATGGTAATTAGGCCGCTGTGACTGAGGGCATTCTGTGTCCGGCGGCCGGGCGCTGGACTTGCGCCTTTCTGTTGGGCGCATGCTTGTTTCCTGCAAATGTAACCATTTCTGCCCCCCCCCCCCTTTCTTGTTTTCATCCTTTCTGCACCACACACAGTGCTGGAGTCAGAGAATCCCCCAGCAGGTATGTGTCCCTTGATTCTTCTGTCCTGCCTTCCACCCGGGACCCTTCAATTAGAGGGAACACGGAGCGTTCCCTGAGAGTGAGGGTGTTGTTTTCTCTTCCATCGCAGATGAGTGGCGGCTTTCTTCCAGTGCTGATGCCAATGGAAACGCCCAGCCGTCTTCACTCGCTGCCAAGGGCTACAGAAGCGTGCACCCCAACCTTCCTTCCGACAAGCCCCAGGTAGGCATGTGCCCAGGGCGGGGTGGGCACCAGTGAGCAGTACCTGTTCCTAAGTCGTTTAGCTTCAGATTGAACTGCCAGCTTGCTCCGCTGGGGAATGGGCTGGCTCAGAGTTGTGCTGTTGGCCACTCTGGAGAAACTCAGGCACCAGCCGTAGGGAGAGTTGGGGTTGAGGGGAGCAGAGGCGTGGAACCAGGTTGGTCTGCACCAGGGGATTGGAAATAGAGGCCTGATGTGTTATAATAGTAACGTGTGTTTAGGAATGTTCTGGAACAGGGAAGCCATTTGGCCTTGGATGTGGGGAAAAGTTCTGAGCCTGTTTGTTAAAACCTCTTTAGAGTGTAATATTCAAGACAAGAGTGCAGTCTTGTGTTTATTCCGGTAACCAGCTGCAGGTGGGGCTGTTAGAGTTCCAGCAACTCTTCTCTTTTCAGCCTAAGATGGGGAGCTGCGGCCAGACCTCACGCCCTGGCCCAGGAGCAGCAGCTAGAAGTCAAAATGGGAGCACCTGTAGTTTAAACCTGTCACCCTGCCCCCAGGTGTACAACTGGGAGTAGAGATCATTTTGCTTCAGTCCCTTGTCCTAGATTGTTTTCCTGATGGCCCTCCCCTCCCTGTGGCTACTTTGCTATTTTGAGGAAAGGAATGGACCCTGTTTTAATCCAGGCAATCTGTGAGGGGCGTCTTTACAGAGAGGAGCCGCATCCATGGAACGGAGCAGTTCTTTCTTTTAAAGGAAGCTGTGCTGCGCAAAATGTATTGCAGAAATGTGCTCCTCGGGGGGCCTTTCCCTGTGCCTGCCTCTGTTTGGGTGCCTTCTCCCAGGACCCACCAGACCCGGGAATTCTGCTTTTCCTTCCTGGCTTCCACACACCTTCTCCAGCGATCCTCTGGTTCCTGTTCCCGAGGACTGGCCCCTGAAAAGAAACTGAGTCGGAGATAACATCCTCCTTCCTCTCTGTAGACCCGCCCCCAGCTTTAGAGCTGGTCTACCTTGTGTGCTAAGCAGCACCACCAAGCCTTCCCCCACCATGGCCGCCTCTCTGGGGCGTGGCCCCGTGCATCCAGGGCTACTGGTTAGAACCAGGAGCTGCAAATGCGTCTCCTGAAGTCTTCATCAGACACGGGGACCTGGGTTGCCCAGTAGGGGGCGTGCCCTAATTCTCCCTTTCTACCGCCTTCCTGGCGGGTAAGCGTGTTGCCTGCGTCCGACAGGCTTCCTTCTTCAGAATGGGTACAGGCGGCTCGGTCCCGGTTAGGAAACAGCGCTGACCCACTCCAGGCAAACGTACAAGCCCGCCTCTTCCCCTCGGTGACTTAGCTCAAGGAGAGCTCACTGATCCCTTTTGGCTTCTTAAGCAGCACTTCAAAAGAGATGATTTTAAAAGCATGTGAACTAAACAATCACTTTAAACACATGAATTTACCGCAGCTTTATTGGGTACTTGTGTTCAGATCACTGTTAAATGTCGCCCTCGAGGAGTTTGTAAGCCTCATAATATAAGTGTGAACATCCAGCAATATCGCCTGTGAATAGCATATTTTCTTACCTGTCACTATCCGAGACTTTGCTTTTTCAAAAGGGAGCCTGGTGAATTGCTGCTATAGCAGTTGCATCCCGTATGTTCAGAGTTAAGTTGCCCGTCCAAATGTCAGGAACCTTCAGGTCATGCCTTACCTCTTGAATTTGTTGGCTGAATACAACTTGTCTGTAGAGCTATTGTCAAAGCTGCAAGTATTCACTGGCTCAGAACAGCCAGGTAGCTGGGGGCTCTCATATCCCTACAGACCTAGCATCTCCTCAGAAGGACTGGATTGGGGTCCAGAAGCTTCAGGGGGAGCCTGTCCCTGATGTTCCCACAGGCTTCCTCTCCTCCCGCCAGCCTGGACCTGCTGCCCTGCTGTCCTTGCTCCCAGTGACAGGAGCCAGGGCTGCCCTCTCTCTGACAGCATCATCGTGTTGGTGTCCCCGGTGGAGGTGGGAATTGGTAGTTTCCGGAATGGTATCAACTAGGAGCCGCTCAGATTCTTCCATCTTTTCATTGCCTCACCTGCTTAAGAGAAATGAGATCTCATTAGTAGCCTGCTGGGGAGGATGCAGACTGCCAGTGTGGTTCCTGCCACGTTTACAATGAAGCAGCGCCTTCCATGTAAAGGAACTGTGCCTGCCCCCCTCCTTCTTTGGGGCTAAAAGCAGCCCCAGGACAGGAAGGCCTCTGGCTCCGAGTGCATGGTCAGCACTCTGGGGAGGCGTCCTCGCCACCGGGTCAAGGCCCTGGGAGGGCTCGCGCCTGATGTAATGCAGCTGCGGCACCGTATATGGCCAGAGCCAGATCCAGTTAAAACCTCATTGCGATTGATTTCTATCTTTGGACAAGAAGGAATCACATGGGGGACACTCCAGCTCAAAGTCAAAGTAAATCTGAGCCTAATTCAAAATTGCCTTTTACTTACTTCCCTGACCACCATTATCACCTTACCCCACGGTCCCTGGGGTGCGTGTCAGTTCAAGCACTGTTTCTAGAGAGCATCGTTTAGTCTATAAACACACCCCAGCCTCCAGCCTGCGCTCACCAGGACCAGGTGAGCACGTCTGGAAGGCTTTGCTTCTGGTTACTACTGAATAGGGGCTGCTCCTTTTGTCTTTTTGGCCAGTATTTAGGTTCCACATGGCCGCATTCCACCGGCACTGTCATGGGCAGCCTGCGGAAGGCTAGGCATCAAGTCAGCCCAAGATACCCAAGGAGGCTCTGCTCCATCCAGGTTATTTGAAAACCGAGTTTGTTAAGGAATAGGTCAGCTACCACTTCTGGCTTGATATTCTAATCCAGGCTCATAAAACGTTTTTATTTCTCACCGATTACCCTTGCTAATATTCCTTTACCTCTTGCCACCTGCACTCCACAAAGAAATAAAAAAATTAAAAAGCAACCTCAAAGTAGACCCATACCCTTGTATCTTTCCAGTTTTGGTCACAACCCAGATACTGACCACACTCTAATGATCTCACCTGTGTCATTTGGAGGACGGTTATCTTTAAAGACAGGGGCCAGTGAAGGGCATCTAGGTGTCTAGGCTTGGGCTGCTGGAGCAAAACATCATAGTTGGGTGGCTTAAACAACATACACTTATTTCTCACAGTTCTGGAGGCTGGGAGGTCCAAGGTACTGGCCTATTTGGTTCCTGGTTTGGGCTCTCTTCCTGGCTCGTAGATGGCTGCCTTCTCACTATGTCCTCACATGGTGGGGGGTGGGAAAGAGAAGGAGGAG